GTTACAGAAAGCAGACCAAAAAAAGCATAAAACAAGAAACCTCTAGCAACAGAGATGACATTTTGAATATTGAGGAATATGAAAAGGGTAGTAGATGCTTTGATTAGTTCCCAGTTGAGGTGGTAAAGACTAAAACAGAAAATAAATTAACACATATATGGAAAGTAAAAAAAGTAAAAAGTATGTGGATTCTTAAAGTTTAGTGTAAGCATGCTGAGTGCTTGTAATTATCAATTGGTACAGTTATTCGATTAGGCTCTTTCAAAGAATACTTTTTTAGATTTAGTTTTTTTATGTTTCCCAAAATTGGGTTTTGTTTTTAAGCAGATAGAGTTTAACCAACAAATAGTATAAGAGGCAGTGTTTATACTTTTCAGATTAGCTGTAGGCAATCTTCGGCACTCCAGATGGTCTGGTCTACATCTCCCATAAAGCTCTTGCATTCATAATGCCCGCAAAGCATCAGGGGATATGCAGTCCACATCATCTGAAGTGCAGAAGTTGCCTACCCCTGCCATAAAGTATATTGCAGAATACATGGCTCTACATGGATCAATGGGTTGGTTCGTTTTAGAAGTTCAGTAATGCCGAATGTGAGTGACCTATATATTGGATACTTCATGAGAATTGAATATATGGTTGTTGGTAAAAAGTAAAGAGACGAATAATGCAGTTTGAAAGAGAAAAACAATTGATTTAACAGGGGGCATGAGCAAGAGGGATGGAAGAAGTATGTCAGCACCATCTTCAGGTCGATTTGCAGCTCTTGGGGTTGTATGGCACTGCTCGAGAGGTCAACTGTGGAGAAAAGTTTTAGTAAGACTTAGAGGTTTGAGATTTTGAAACAAGAAAAGGCCTTTTTTTTTTTTTTTTTTACTAAATAAACGTATATAAGGAATATAGAAAATGGCTAATGAAAAATGTTAAGTTAATGTTTTTTGTTTATTTTGATAAAATATAAAATTCTCTAAACTACATATGCAAAAAATAAATACAAAGAACACAAGTTAATGGACCATTCACTAAACAGTGAAATATGGTGAAAAGAAAAGGGGATTGCAAAATGTAGGACCAAAATATTAACATCCGCTATTTTTTTTATACTTTCTATGTTGCCCGAAAGTGGTCCTATTATTGACAAATACATTGATGGTAAGATCTTCTGCTGAGCACAGATAAAACATATTAAATATTGTATATATTTTAACTATGGCTTTGTTGTGGTCACTGTACCACAATATCTATATGTGCCGTTATGTATAATAATATACTCCAACAAACACAAAGCCATACTAGGGACTATGAAATGTCACATTGGGTACCAAAAACATCTTTTGTTTGTAGCTTACAGCACTTTACACTTATTAACTTTTCACATTTGCCAAGCAATTTCATAAACACAATGCACAGATGAAATTCTATCCTCTGTAATGTGTGACCAAGACATACAAACTCAGTGGTTACGCTCAATGTGTAAATGTATATTCATATTGATTTTTATTTTTTATTTTTTAAAAAGGACAAACCATTTAATTTTAAATAATGTATGCAATGCAGGGGAATTCTATCCAATCTTCCAAATAACTCAAACCAGTATGAGGGAAATTGAAAGAATATGACTTTTGGCGATATGTGCAATACATCTAAATTGAGCGTCAGTCCGTTTTTTCCTTAAATGGAAATTTTTAAATCTTTTTATTTGTGTTTTTTTTTTTAAACTATTGAAGCAAATTGTAAAGCACCAAATGTGATCTATACTCCTGTTTCTCAAACCGATAATATATCCTGTATATGTTTTTACACTTGCCAACCACCAAGTTATCTGGTTATTATTTCAGGCTGAAATTGACCCCTTCGTTTAGCTCAGTGGAGCTCAGCTCAAGAGGAAGCAATTGCAAATACTTTTAATTGAGATGCATTGGGAAGTCTGTGATTGGACAGCCACAGAAAGTCTGCGATGGATAAGATTGGGAGATTGAAAAGGCAGCAGACAAGAGAACTGCAGGTTTTGCAAGCTGATTTTTTATATATATCCCCAATGGAAAAAAATGCCTAATTAAATGCATGCATGTTTTCATTGGAAGCATATCTATCTAGTTGCCCTCCCCTGTGAGGAGTAAACAGTTGATATGCTTTAATTTTCTTCCTCACCGAAGTGCTCTCTCCTTTCCTTTGTCGTTGGCTGAGAACATCAATCTTTATGATCTCATCTAATCCAGCGCTTTCCCACAGGAAAGAATAGGGAAGTTAGTGCGCATGCATGGCTAAAATGGCTGGGGAAGAGAATATGAGATACACAAAGCGGCTGGGGGAGCAAGAGACACAAAAAAATGCTGGGGGGGGAGTAAAAGGCACATAAAGAGACAAGGACATTAAGAGACACACAAAAGGGCTGGGGAAGAAAGAGACACACAAAAGGGCTGAAGAAAAGTAAGAGACACACAAATTGGTTGGGGAAGAAAGAGAGACACAAAGGGGTCAGGAAGAAAAAGGAGGCACACAAATGAGCTGAGGGAAAAAGAGACGCACAAAAGCGCTGAAGAAAAGTAAGAGACACACAAAGATGCTGGGGAAGAAAGAGACACACAAAGGGGCTGGGAGGGAGGTAAGATGCACACAAAAAGGCTGGGGAAGTAAGAGACACACAACATGGATGGAGAGAAGTAAGAGACACACAAAGGGACTGGGAAGGAAGTAAGAAACACACAAACAGACTAAGAGAAAGTAGGAGGGAGCGCAAAACACCCAAAAGGGGAAGTGGAGGATAAGATGCACTAAAGGAGTAAGTAAGACATAAGAAGTGGATAATAAACACTGCAGCTTGATTCTCTCTCACTCGCATAACTCCTCCTTACTGCATGGGGAGGGATGTCAGCAAGGACGGATTGAGGGGGGGATATGAGCGGCATGCCACACATCTACTATGCACTGTACCAACATTAGCCACACTTGAACTATTGATGCAGGAGTTACACTTCCCACAGCAAAGAGGTAGAGAAGCACTGCACATACAGACTCCAAGCACTATGATCCCTTAAACTGCTGATGTGGTCATGGTGCTTGGAGTAACCCTTTAATAAACATTCTGTGCAAACACAATGTACATTCCACACATATTTTCAGACAGCACTTCACATAATTCCCCTCTATAAATCGTATATATTTTTCTTTGGATTTTCTTTAATAATCTTGAGACTTATAGGGGAACAGTAACTTCCCAGGATTTGTAATAATATATTTGGTAATCCCTATAGTTATCCCTATATATAACTAATTATTTGTAAGTTATGAAAAATATAATTAAGTGTAGAAATACTCACCTCTTTATCCTGTAACTGGGCGCCTCCATCTTAGCCCCCCGTCAAGCATTGTTACAAACCGAGTCCTTTGCACCTGGCAGTCCGTATAGAGAAAGCAAAGAGAATGTTTCTTTTTCAAGGTTTCTTTTTCTCCCCCTCATTTACCATGTTTGCATGGTTTTGACTTGTCTGAACTGAATTATGATGTCATTTTCGAAATCTTTAGTATAAATTTAAAAGAAAATGGAGAAACATATGACAGAAAAAAAAAGTATTAACACACATTATAGGTGATTTTCAATGTTATATTCAGTTCTGTAAATACCAGAGAAGTTGCAGTTCCACTTTAAGCCCCGTCACCCCAAATAACCCCTTTGCTCAGGGCAATATTATATGAATTTACTTTTTCCTTTTAAATATGGCCCCAAGTGGTGGCTAACATTGTGACTATGGATATTTGTGAATTCTCATCAATCTAAGTCAGCTGTATATATGCAGTGCCAAAGTTATAAATTTTATATCTTTTTATAATAGTAAAACACACGCGCACACACACACACGCACACATGCACACACACGATACATAAGAATGTTTGGGTTTCTCGAGGCATCATCATTTAAAGTTCTTGGGTGAGTGGGTTTGACATAGGTGTAGGTAGTGTGGGCGAGAAATTCCTTTTGGCAATAAACACTATAAGTCTGATAAAATCTCATTAACATTAATATTTTTCTTGAAACATAAATTCCAAAGAAAATTGAAACGGTAACAATTATGCATTGTATCACATGAAGTGTCTCTGTTATGACCAGACGATGGGAAAGAATGGATATTGTCTATGACATCAAAGATCTGCTTATGAAAGAAAGCTTGGACAAGTCAGATCTTGGCTGTTCTTTTTCTAAACAGACACTTTGTTTGCAGGATATGCAAATTGTGGTTTAGCCTCTCTGCTGAGAACCTGTACTAACTGCGGTGAGCATTGATCATACCAAGCCATGATCATTTTATTGTGAGAATATCCACCACTCCTTCCTCTTGCGAAAAGACAAAGTAAGACCGTCATAATCCAGCTGAAAGTAGGATTTCACAAGAGGTTTCGGCTACG